GCTCACAGACCAGGAAAAGCGTACATGCAAAGGGACTGACTGAAAGAATACTGGAAGTTTCAGGTGGTACGAAGTAGGCAGCACAGAGGGATCTTCCATTAGACACAAGGAACTAGCCACAACATTTACTACAAGTGTTGCACCCTCCTCTTTGATTCTTCTGTTTTCTTTCTGATTTTTATTTGCACACTTTCACTTTGATTGCATTGAGGGTTCAATCTCTCTTACCCCATGGAAATTATGATACAGTTCTTTTCAGAGTAACATAGTTAGCAAGGCACCCTTAGGTATGAGCTCCCATAGCCACACAGCAACTGGATCAACCGTACACATCAGAAACACGTCTCTGCTGATGCAACTACTTTGCAAAACAGAAAAGGTGCGAGGGAGAGGGGTAGAAGCAAACCTCAAAAGCAGATTAATCATAATTTCAAAAAACAAGAGCACAAGTTTTGTATAATGTATGCTACTAACAGTTAATGAAAAAGTGCATTTTCAGTGATGCAAAACAAAGAGATCAAGATCTAATACATTTGTGAACGGCAATAGTAATATCAGCACTTTTTAGAATAGGCTGTCCAAAAAATATTTTGACTGCAGTATAGATAGAAAGTCCTATGGTATGGCATATACATATAGACCAATGGCAATAACCCACATAAAAAACCACATACATCCACTGGGAATCGAGGAGGGGTGGAAAGGCCAGAGGCAACAAGGGGCTTTGATTTAGTGCATTTAGAGCAAATGCATTCTGCCTTCCAGTTTAAAGAGCATGTACACAACCAAAGACACCATTACAGATTAGTCCAATAGAGAATATCAGCAGTATAATGGCTAGAGTTGTATATTACAGACCTCAAAGCCAAAGAAATTCTTTGCATAGCAGCACTGTGAGAATTGCGTAAGTTCTTGCATGCTAGGAAATTTCGGCTTGGTCCAGAGATAACAAAACTCTAAGGGAAATGGCCTGCCTGCTGGGTTGCTGTAGATCTTTGCTAAAATGCTGTTGAAGCCATTTGGATACAAAATCCCTATTTACAGAAACAATTTTTTAAATAGACAACTGGAGAAATAAATTGGTGCTCTGAATGCTCTGGAAAATTATATTACACTGATTGCCAATTCTTTGCTATGTATAACAGCTAACTCCCTTACAGTATGCGTTATAGTGAAAGATAATTGTGTTGCTGCTGGAGAACAAGCGAAGTTCATCCCTTCAGCAACATTTTAAAGATACATAAGAAGTCTATCACTAACACTGGAAAGACAAAACATTTAGTGGAGATGTACTCTGGGTTTGAGGAATGATATCCAGAGGTTTTGAAGGAAATTTTTTCCTGCTACTCCACCTGCCTCTAGCAGGGGCTCTGAGTCAGGTCAGTTCTCCAGCCTTCAGGTGGCCTGCTATGCTTGCATATGGAGGTAAGGTCTAACTGACTCTTCTCCAGGTGTTTCTACCCTGCCACACTCCTCTCTAAAAGGTCTCAGGGAAAGATTATGGCTCCTCCTCCCAGCATGAGGGAGAATGATGCTTTCTGTCAATTAAGTACCAGCCAGCTGATTCCTAGTGACATCCCCATTTCAATGGGCAGCTGGCTCTGTGTGCGCAGGGAGTTTTGCATTTATTTCAGTACTAAAGCCCATAAGCATGCAATAAAGAGAGTCTTAGACTTACTCAGAGCACAAGTAAGAACCTCTATCTGCTTTAAGACTTTAGGCAGCATACGGAGGAATAATATTAAAAACCTGTTTTAAAAACAGGCTTACAAAACTCACCGCTTCCATAAGTGACACTAGGATTAATAGAAAGGTCAAGTTATACTTAGGTAATTTGTGGATCTTGCATGAGTGTGTGTGTGTGTGTGTGTGTGTAGGGTCTCTTGCTTCAGAGCTTCCAAGGTAACTCTATTTCCTTGTCAGAGATAACATGGGGGAACCTGAAAGTCCAACGGAGCTCTTCCCCCTACAGCAAATAAGTGCAATAAAGCCATTACTATGGTTCAGTAATCACAGTTCTGGGAACTAAACAATTCACCACAGTGCACTGGCCCTGTTACAGGTACAGTTGAAGAGAATATTTAAACAGTGTCAGTGGCAATTTTCTAAAATTGGTACGTCCAGCTAGCCACCTGCAGACCAAACTCACCAGTTTTGATACTTTTGGGCGTCAGAATCAATGTCTGTAATAAGACGGACACAGAAAATCTTGACAAAATGGACTTGTCCTTGACCTATTAGTTTATTTCAAAAACCTTCTGTTCATTAAACTTACATACATCAGGGAATGTTGTAGATATTTGATCCTTTCTTTGTTATTCAACAATGTGATATATGTCAAAGGATAGATCAAAGAAACTGAAGGGAACTAAAGAAACACCTTCACTAACTAATCAAGGGAAACGCTTTCGTAGTTACATACTTCAAACAAAAGCGCACCACCGTTTTTCAGAACAAAACAGCTTAACTTTAGCGTGAAGGTAATTTAAACAAATTTTATGGCAGTCAACACTGACTGAAGTTAAGAACCCTATTTTTTTACAATTCTCTCATATTACCCTTTCCTCAGCCTGAGGCATTTAAAGCTCTTCAGCTACTTAGGCATTTAAAAGGTCAATTTGCAAGGCATTTTGGTTTGCTAATTTCCACAGTTAGCTAGAATCTTAAGCCATGTTTCAAATTCACTATGAATCGTCTCTAATTTCTGTGGTTCTCAGGAATTTAATGGAGTGCAATCTCTAAATCAGAGCAAACAGGCAAATTTATAGTACTCTTGATTTTTCACTCAAGCACACAGATTTTTGTCCCTATCCAAACTGTATAAATTTTCTTCAAGATTTTCTGTCCTTGCATCTTTTCCAGTAACAACTTTGCAATAATGTCTGAGTGAATTTTGATGAATTGTTGATCTGTTTGAAGCCTTCATACATTGTTGTGGGATTTTCCCAGCACTCACACCTAGAAAGGACCAGAAGTCTAGATTGGGCAAATTACTCTGAGCGTGTTTTTGCCATGCAGGCAGCCACAATGGCATGGTAAGGTGGGCTTTATGGCCCTAATGCCTGCTTGCTCCAATACTGGTGTGCCTGAACAGTTGCTGGTACTGCCACTCAGAACACATGGCCTCCTCTTTTCTCTCTCTGCAAAACCAAAGTTGTGCAGAGGAAAGAAGAATAAGGCCCTACAAGGAAGGAAAAAAGTGTGGATTCTCAACATGACCAGAGCAGGACAATAGATCACTATCAAATTAAACACAATTAATTTTCCCTATATTGCCACATATACAATTCACTAGGACAAAAGCCTACACTCTCTCTGAACTCCTTTTTACATTCACATGAGAAGATGTGCACAATAATGGAACCTGGGATGATTTTTGAAATTCCTTTGAACACACTATGTTTCTCTAGGAGAAGAAGAAAAGTTGCAAGACAAGATCAGGCTGATGTCGAAGAAGTGCCTCTTTACTCCTTTTAACCTAGACATGCTGTTTAAAGGTAACATTTATCATCATTACCGTGCTATGCCTCCAGCAACAGCCTAGAGAAGGGTGCAAAGGGTGCAAAAATTCCAGGATGAAGGACACTGTCTTTCTGAAAGTTCAGCAAGAGTCTGGGTAGCATCCATATCTCTTTCACACTGATGTGGCTTAACCCGCCGAAACCAGGACACACACTGTGGGAAGGACCAAGCCAGGCTCTGTGCACGTCATTCAGATGGCCCATAATATTGAGTCAAGCGATGGCAAAAACCATACTTCCAACGCCATGTGTCTAGGATTTCGGGCACCGTTGCGGTCATACCTTGATGCAATATTTCCATACTAGATGCAGCTTGTTGCCAGAGTGCAAGTAAACTTCGTAACGGACTGCCACGAGTCAGTCCGGGAGCAGTAAATTAGCAAGTGGCTCAGGCACTCTAGTCTAGGAGAAGAGTAAAAAAGGAGCGTGGCTGCAGCACTGGGAACAACGGTCCTTGTTCTCCCGCCTTGAGTGAAAGTAAACAAGTCCGTTGTTATCTGACTTTGCCAAACCTCAAAGTATAACGCTAGAAGGAAAAATAAGTTTTACAGAATTGAACATATACAACCCTTTTCTTCCCTTCATAAATCGTATGTTACACTAGTTGAAACTACCAAAGTGTTTACAGTATGCTATATATGTAATGGCACATTTAAGCTCTTTAAAGGGATTGGAACATTTCAGGAATGTCTCTGGTGCTGAAAAAGGCTAATGTATTACAAATCATATAGTATTTTAATTCAGAAAAAATATGTTTGGGTATTTTGACCTAGCATCATAAGGGTTAGGAAACCGACGGAGGATGCCATGAAGCATGACTGACGAATCAGTCGAGTTAGTCTGCTTCAGATACATATTGTGCAAGGCATTACCGCTGCAATCAGTCACAAAAATGCATATTTAGTTTTTGTACATTAAATACTACACCTGTGAACCTATGTAAAAGATATACAAAATATAAATGTCATCAGGACTGTATATTTCAAACTTTTTAAAATAAACACAAAGTATATATATATGTAGGCATATAGGTTGTAATTTCAATGTCAACACTAGCACAGTTTGTCTCTTCTAAATACAGACCTGGATACTTCCTAGTCCAACACATGCACCTACAAACACGATCATGCATACAGCTTTACATTCTGCTGTTTGCAGAAGAGTCAGAATATACAGCACTATACATTGTTTCAACTCAAAATTGATTGGCAAATTAAAGAAGATGCCATTCAAAAGAAATTCCTTGTGAGCTATTACCAAAAAAACAGAGAAAACCAGGGGTATAGTTATTTCATCTGAATAAAAACACTGAAGACCATGGTGATGACGACCTAAGATTCAAAACGCTTTGTCCGGCATGTGGTGGGGGTCACTCTTGGACAAGATACAACAGCATCGAACTGGTTGCTATAACACATACCAAACACAGTTATAATGAGGTGTAGAGCTTTCACAACACCATCCAACCCAGCTCCGGGTTCAGACTACTGAGGTCTCTGACCGAAAGGAGACAGAGCAGTTGTACGCCGTTCTTCTCACAGCAGGTGGTGCTGACGGTGATCTGGATGCCCATCTGGAAGGTAAGCGTCGATTTGCTGGCCGAGCAGGCCGGGCGAAACCCTTCCCACTTGAACATTTAGCTGGCACAGATATCTAGAACACAAAGGCAATTCCTTGCTTTAACAAGTTACGGCTTTTGCGGAATGCA